CCTAATATTAACCAATTCTATGGGATTACAATAGGTACTGTTTATAATACATTTTATATACATAATATTCCTTAAATTCACTAAATAATATTTCTACTGTGATTACATAATTTTTAGATCCTGAAACAGGATATCTCATATTAGTATTGCAGTTTGCCAATGGAGGAAATCTACGGTAATATTTGCAGAGCAAGTGGCATAAGAATACTTTTAAAATTTCAATAAATGAAATTATCGAAATTGCGAAGCAAGTTACTCGCGGGTTAATGCGTTTGCATGAGAATAATATAATTCATTGTGATTTAGTAAGCATAAATGTCTAATATATATTTATACTTTATTATAAATAATTTAAATTGACAATTTAATAATTTATCTAGCATCCTAAAAATATTTTAATAAATAATGGCAAATTCTTAATTGCGGATTTTGGTTTATCAACAAAGGTTGATGACAGTTTAAGTTTTTCATTCACAACTTTGCACGGTGCACCAGCATACACTGATCCGGTATGCCGTCGGTCTGGATATATACGTGATAAAAAATCGGATGTTTATAGCTTAGGTGTAGTATTTTGGGAGCTTACGAGTGGAATTGCTCCGTTTCAGAGCACTGTCAATGCGCTTGCTATATGTATTAAAATAGGGCAAGGCTATCGAGAGGATACGATTCCTGGTACGCCACTTAATTTCGCTGAGCTTTATAAAAATTGCTGGGACATTAATCCGCAGAAACGTCCAACAACAAACGAAACTTTTGCGACTCTCAATAAAATATCAAAAGAAACTGAAGTTGAGGAATTCATTATAAATCGTAATCAAAGACCTATTCCTGTTTTACCCAGGAACGAACATCTACATTATTTTCCGTTGGGCCGAATATGCGGATAATAAATAAGCCTAGTTTAAAGAACTCTTCTCAAAAGCAAGACGATGCGAATGAATTAAAAGCTCAGGGACTAGTTTATTATGAGGCGAATAATTACGAACGCTCTATCGAGCTCTTAAGTAAATTACTTAAAATTGATCCAGATGATACAGAAGCATTAAAATTCCGGGGACTGGCCTACTCTAAACAAGAAAATTACGATAAATCGCTTGAGGATTTAAATAAGTTATTAAGAATTATTGATGATGATTTAGTTTCACTAATATCTCGAGGACAAATATACTATAAACTTGGCAACTATGAAAAAGCAATTACAGATTTAACTAAATCATTAACAATAGACACAAATAATGCTATTGCACTGAGATTTCGAGGTCAAACATATTACATGCTAAATTGCTACGAAGAATCATTAATAGATTTAAATAAATCATTAGAAATTGATTCAAACGATGCAATCACATTAGAATATCGAGTGCAAGCTCATTTTAAGTTAAAAAAATTTGACAAATCCATCGAAGATTCGACCGATTTATTAAAATTTAATCCAAAAAACACTATTGCACTATTGATACAAGGAAAATCATATTTCATGTTAGAAAAATATGAAGAATCCATAAAAAGCTTAACAGAGTTGTTAAACTTGGAACCAGAAAATATTGATGCGTTAAATACTCGAGGACAAGCGTACTGTACATTAAATCTCTATGATAAATCTCTTGAAGATTTAATAAATCGATGAATCTGAGCCAAATAATGCAAATGCATTAAGTTTTCGAGGAAAAACGCACTTGATGCTAAATAACCATGAAGATTCTCTTGCAGATTTAAATAAATCTTTAAAAATTAGATCAAATAATGCTTTTGCACTAAGCTTTCGAGGACAAGCATATTACAAATTAGAAAACTACGATAAATCTTATGCAGATTTAACCGAGTCGTTAAAGCTTGATCCTGCAAATGCAGATTCACTAAGATTTTTGAGCTATTCTTGTTATAATAATCAAAATACAAATATGGACATTTTAAGTCATAATGGGATAAATTCTACATCAATTCAATATTTAAATTCAAATTCAATAGGTTGGCTATCTTTCTATGTGAATTTTAAAAAAATATAATTACTTTATTGATAGAGTTTATTTACAATTTATAGAGCAGCGATTCAATCAATTGCAAGTCGTTGATCAAAACAATTTAAATCAGGACAAGAGTATTATGATCTTATCAATCACATAAGCTTTACTTTTTATTGCATTTTATAGAATCTAATATAATAAATAATTCCACAATCAAATACAAACAGAAATAACGACACAACCACTGTTAACAATTGATACCAAAAATTGGTTCCAAATTGCAGTTGATAAATATAATCTAAAAGAAATAACTTATGCCGATTTGGGAGCACTGAAATATGTAAATCGTGGTGCATTTGGAAATGTTTACTGTACTTCTTGTAACTCAATACCGAGTGAAAAGGTTGCCGTAAAGGAAATATATATTTCAGAAGACGATGATGAAAAAGGAATTAAAATGTTTCTTAACGAGGTTTGTGTAGTTATGGTTTAGTGAAGAGATTATGTTAGTATATAAATCGCAAAATTTTTTTAAATTATAATTTTCAAGACTTATTTCTGTATTTTTTGTCAATTTGGTCCCTTTTTCCAGCACCCACATAATATAATTGAAACCTAATATACGCAATGAACAAATTAAAAAATTTATGCCATATATTTTTTGTCCTAAAAAATCATAATTCCTGAAGAATACATGAAACTTTTATCTATAATGAATCCATACATTTGGAGTAAAGAAAATTCAAATAAACGAAACAACTCATATGTATATAAGCCAGCATTGTTAAATATAGAAACTCTATATTTTTTGAAAGCAAACTCGAACCTTCATTTAAAGTAAGATATTAAAATCTATAATCAAAAAATAAAGAAACCCTTTACAAAGTTATAATAATAAATATAGCCTTTGTGGTTATTTTTACTATTAATATAACTAAACACTTTATGAAACTTTGTTCATAAAGTGTTTAGTTATATTAATAGTAAAAATAACCACAACGGCT